CTTTTCTGTTCCCCTACCCCCAATTCCCCACGCTGTTCCCATCCCCCAATTCCCCAATAAAAATCTTAAAAAAAAAAAAGACTAAGGAGCTGTAGCCACAATGTAAATGACCTGAAATGTGGTCACTTGCAAGTGAGTTACCATATCTATATTTTTCTTAGAAATTCACTAATTAGCAGCTTATACAGCCTTGGGAAACGAGATTGTAAATGGCAGAATAAAAATACCATGGGTCTTGCTGGGTGATGTTTTGCTCAGACGTTGTATGACAGGCCAAGAGATGGAATTAAAGTGTCTTCCCAGCCAGCACAGCTATAAAACTACCCGGGAGAGTATAAGAGGGAGGAACAACAAGCTTGAGCTGCAAGGATGACATTTGTCCTTTGACTCTGGGCTCTGATTGGAAGTTGCAGAGAAGGCTATTCCATCCTCCGGTTCCACCTTACCTAAGCCTCACCTGCCATTGGCTGCTTGTTAGCACAGTCACTGTAGTTGAGGGCGAAAGGACTATCTAGACTTGGAATGGTCAGAACAAACACCCACCTAGCTCTACTGATTAAAAAAAGAAAGTTTGATTGGCTTCAGAATACTTTTAGCTAATAATTTCAATGTTTTTTTTCTCAATGAGTAAGCTATGTCTCATTTCTGTGAACTGATAAATAACACTTTATCTATCCAAATATCCAGGAGCAGTATTGGATTGATCTATACATGAACAATGGGAGGAAGGCAGTGATGTGTTTTTCTTATCTGGGAGTCCTTCAATGGATGGACTAAGGTCAATGTGCTGCAGGAGAAGAAAAAAATTTTTCCCTTTACCCTTCTAGGTTCTTGGCTGAGACCCTCCCTACTCTAATAAAAAGACAGATTAACAAGGGAAAAAAAATTAATTTCATATATACAAGAGCCCCATAAAATTATGAGACTCAAAGGGAGCCAGGCAATTGAGACTCATATACCATATTGAGCTAAAGGAAGGACAGGGGTCTGGGGCTTCAAAGGGGAGGAAGACAATTCACAGGAAGAGAAGAGCAAATGTTTGGTAGACAAATGTTTGCCCTGCCATGCAGGTAAATCTCTCAGATGGAAAAGTTATCTCTGGCAGTAGCACTCTTCCTGGTACAGGGCCTATTTCTAATATGTTTTAGGCAGTTAAGGGGAAGGTAAAAAGCTTTTCCTGAGTCTGCTCTTGATTGCTTTCAGCTCAAAATAATCCTCATGCCAAAGAGGCATATTTTAGGATGATATATTCTGTTCCTCCTCATACCCTGCTCAGACTTGATTTTCTAGGTATTAATAACTTCTACTTCCCACCTCACCTCTCCCAATCACCTGAACTGTATGACTCACCTCAGCCTAAGGAATTCACACATGATGTTCTGAAGTACTGATCCCTAATTCCTCATGAAACTGGAATCCTCTCAGGGAACTGTTTCTTATCCGTTCACTTTTCACTAGAAGTCACAAGCTAGTCTATGTCCCCAAAAGTCCCTATGAGCTAGTGACTCCTGGTTCTTTTCCTGTTCCCTCTTAATCTGGCAGACATGATATTTGAAAGACAACATGAAGACCTTTAAAATCGGCCAGCCAAAACACTGTAATTCTCCCAATGAAGAGGCAGTAGATTAAAGAGTAGTCTGGTCCTTCAATTTATTTCAAAATTGGCTGTTCACTTGTAACTGCAGCTCTCAAGTTCACAGAGTTTTCAGGAATCTGTCATCTTCGGAGCATCAAGAGGTCAAATCATAGCATAATACATTTAAAGAGTGAGTTTGCAAAAGAAAAATTGTTTAAGACATTCTAAACCAACAGCTTTCCTTTTTAATTCTTCTCTCACCCCTCACATGACCTATGCTGGTTACCACAGAAACAGATGTTTTCATGCCCATTGAAAGACTCAAAGTATGTTATGTTAGTTATTTGCCCTTAAATGTTGCTCCTCCAGCAAAATTATCTGTGCCAAAAATCTGCAGACACACAAATACATACTCTGTTCTGCATCACTGAATTCACAAAGGGGAATTTATTTGTTAAAATGTTTCACATAATCAAAATTCTTAAGCATGTTTCTAGAAAAAATATAGTCAATTGTTTGTAGTAAGCCTGCTTTTACATGTTAACCTTAACAGTTACTAGCAGTGTGAACATGGGCAAATACTTAGTCTCTCTGTGCCTGTTTCTCTATATGTAAAATAGCAAGAATTTTTTTAATAAAACCTACCTTGTAAGAATCTGGGGATGATCGGGCCGGCCGAGTGGCGCGATGGTTAAGAACTCCCTTGGGATGCCAGAGGGCCCCGGTTCGGATCCCACATATGAGGGCCAGTGACACT